GTGGTCTGCATGGTAAAGGGTTCGGAGGTCATCCAGATAGTGTTTTCAATGAAAAGCAGGGTAGAAATGCAGTATTGTATGCTCGAACATGCATTCAAACTCACAATTTCTCGTACGAGCCCATCTGTTTTTGCTCGATTCGTTCCAGTACATTGTACCTACGCAATCTCTAAATTCTGGCGCTTGAACTCCAGTTCCGTACGAAAGTTCATTTCAAACCAGAGGAAAAGTGCGGTGTTTGATTTTCCGCAGTGCGCGGACTGCAGCTGAATGATGTAATGAAGGCAGCGCGCCGGGCCGCGCATCTGGCCCATAGAAAAGAGATCACAGTTGCATACTCTTGTTTATGATTATGGACTCTTGATATAATGCCAGTTTCGACCCTGGGTGCACGTGCAGTGCACGTGCATAGTACTACTTGTGCGCGTGCATGATTATATGAGGATGTCGCAAACAATTACATTGAAGAATATTGTGAACCGTGTGTCGCTGTCGCAGCTCGTCGCATGTGTCGCAAGTCGCATGTCGCGTCGCAGAAAGTTGTATTGTGAATCGGCCTTTAGGCTAGCTGCAGGGAGTCTAGTAGTCCGTGGGCCAAACCTGAAAAAAGGCCTCCTAGAAAAATCTCGTTCCGACTTTTGGGCACCGCAATTTTATTGGCCACGTCTACTCTAGATACCTTACTGAGCAGGATTCCGGTTGTTGTCACTCTGACAACTTTCTGAAAGGTATCCAAAAATCGGCTTTTCCATGTTGAAAATTTCTCTCTCGGCGGCCATTGTTTTGTATGCATTCATGCATGCGCCTTGTGTGTGGTGCTGTGAAATGTGATTATGCACCAGAATAGACGAAAGTACACGAATTCAGTGTTAGGGCGCGTTCAGACTACCGTGAACCCCGTCAAACCGTGAATGCCGATAAACCGTGAAGGACATTCACACTAGGGAGGTTCTGCTATACGTGAAACGTAGAGAAATCACGTAGAGAGCAGGTGTCTGGGTTAGAGTCTACGGCTTCGCGTGTTTTGGCTCCAGATTTCTACGCGGAGATGGGGTTCTCTACGTTGTGGCACACGCAGAGAAAATGCGTACGGATTTGCTGGCTATCGATCAACTGCATGCAGAAAACTGCCAAATATGGAAGGGGAAATTCCCAGTACACATTCCACGTGACTTCTCTAGGTGAAACGTAGAGCAGAACAGCATTTCTTTACGTTACGGGAACGCGAAGAAAGTTCGCGTGATTCTTTGCGTCGCGTTCCCAAAACGTAGAGCAGAACCTCCCTACTACCGATAACAAACTAACGTGACCGTGAAGTTTTCAGCTCTCACCGCGGCACTGACAAGGGATTTTCCCTTTTTTTCGCAGCGCGCATGCAGCCTGAGCACTTTTTTACTGCCGGTAAAAGTTTACTGCCGCATCAGCCGCGGCAGTTACTTTCCCACCGGTAAAGTGCCAGTAACGTCACGTGATCAAATCACCTTGGCGACTTTCCCTATCGGTCACTTTTTATCGGTAGTCTGAACGCGCCCTTACCTGTCATGTCAAGTCGTGATCTGGTACGATCTGGTACACTGCACACTCTCTGCAGGCGTGCACCCGGACCCACAATAGGGAGGTTTAGTTCCCACGTAACGGAAACGCGTAGATCTACGTGGGTGATCCACGTAAAGTGGATGCCGGATGAAGGGCACCCACGTTGCAATGTTGTGTTTAGTCACACGGAACAAACAAAAGCATGAAGCTAAAGGCCAAAACCTGGTCAAAGACGAAGCTACCCCGGCCTAAGAAGCTCATCCAATATTTTGATTTCGTGCTTCGGAAACTACTTCAGCTGAGCACCCTCACAGCTCGCACAATGCGCTCCATTCCGATTTTCACCCACGTTCTGGCGGAACGTGGGTGAGCCTCCATACACGGTATGTCGTGAATCAGAAAACGTCTGTACGTGGGTCACTGAGTATCACGTGCTACACACACGTAAAGCACCCACGGATTACGTGGGACTAAACCTCCCTAATTCTAACTCTCTGCACTGCAGTGCAGGCGTGCACCCACTATACTTGGCATCTTCCTTCTCAGTTTGAACTTTCATTTCGAGATCGTTTTTTTGGTTTCAGTTTGTACTAGTATGTCTGTGGTCAAGTAGCACTAGAAGTAAGCGTCGTGATGAGTTTAAAGTGTCTCATTCACGTTCCGGAGTGCGGTGAGGAGGTGAAGCCCTTCCCCCAGACTACGTGGAAGAAGGTGTGTGAAATATGCACTACAGTCCATTCATAAAAAAATGGGTCCTGGCTCTGGCGAGCTCCCGTATTTGGCGATTTTTCGTGATTTCATCGTACACAGTGCAGTGCTGCGAACTTTGAAATTTGAAAAAGGGTCCAAAAAGGGTGCCTGAACTGGGGTTCGAACCGCAGAATGCACTGTTGCAGGCGGGGTCAAACGGCCTGGATTTTGATGGTTTTTCCCAATTCAGTGCTTTTGGGGCAAAACCTGGCCGAAATCCTATTCTTGCTATGGCTTGCTTTTTGGACAAAAAAACTTCAGAAACATAATTGGAAGAGGATTCCATATGGGATTGCAGAAAAAAATTCTAAAAAAACTCAACGTTTGACCCATTTATGGCCAAAAGCTAGAAGTTCATTTTTTTCTGAATGGACTGTAGTGAAGCTGTTGCCGTAGAAAATTTAGCTGAGCTCAGGGAGTTATGTCGTAGTGATGTTTGGCCTGAAAACGGAGTTTTCCACAAAAAATGTTACCAGAAAATAACGAATATAACCCTCCGACGAAGGCAGAGTACCCCTCATCTAGCCATTCGGAAGAACTGTCTGTGCCGGAGTCGATAGAGCCAGAAGCCAAGCGCCGCCCCAGCATGCGCGCCGCACTAGCCGCGCCCGTCGTAGCACCAGGCATGAAGGGCTGCATATTTTGTGGGAAGGAGAGGCGCCAGCAACCTGGCCGGAAGAATTGTAGTCCAGTCCACAAGCAGGTGTGAATACGCACACGCTGCAGCGAAGCTGTTATGTACATGTTATACGCAGCAAACATCAGAAAAGACGAAAAGGTCCAAGTTGCAATTGGTCAATCCGTCTCTGGAATATTTGCGCGCGAGGTTAACTACCATAAACAATGCTACAGGAATTACACGAGAGCTTAGTGCCCCTGTTTGCGAAGCCATTATGGGGATGCATGCCTATACAGGTTGTGACACAACCAGTGCCTTCAGTGGCAGAGGGAAGAAGCTAGCATTTCAGCTGATCACCAAGCAAACCCCAAAAGGCGAGCTGGCTCGAAAGGCTATGGCAGCACTCGGTGCATCATTTGACGCACTACCAGCTGACATTTCGCCTGCATCGAGCAGTTCACTTGCGGTATATACGGCTTCAACACCGCCACATCTATCAACGAAGTGCGATACCAGATGTTCTGCTCTCGCTCGACGCAATTCAGCTCCCTTCCTCCTTGCCAAGATGCGCTGCGCAAGCATGCTGCAAGAGCAAATTACCAGGCCAGTATCTGGCACCGTGCTCTGGAAGCTTCCGCGGATGTCCAACCACCGCATAGCCCTGGTCAAGGGTAGACCATTGATTCTGGCGGTGGTTTGGAAGTGGACTGGCTCAGCTTGGCACCAGCACCATCGAGCCTGATGGAATTTGTTTCATGCGGTTGCACGACAGGCTGCAAGCACGGACATTGCCCCTGCCGGAGACAGCACCTCGATTGCACGGATGCTTGCAAGTGCTCTCGCTCGGGCCAGGAGTGTGAGAATGGGCAACCACTGGAGCTTCAAGGAACTGCAGAACTCAGTGAAGACGAGGATGAATAAGAAAAAGAATGCCCATCCTGACAGGTATGTATAATATGATTGAAGATTGAGTGTTCATTAGAGTTCAGTGATGCACATTGTACGATCATGAACATGTACGTGACTGTACATCATGCCCAATTCAAGTCCTTCTGATGTTTGCCCAGTGTTCAGTATCAATATCACATGTGGACTAAAATCAATGTGGGAGATATAAAAATGCACGGGAATGATCATTGCGATTATTTTTCATTGCCATCGGCTTCGGCCTCATTTCCTCTGTGCTGCGCTGATGAGTCCACAAAGGACGAACTAGTTCTGTCCACACGTTGGGTGATCATTGGAATTGGAATTGTGTATTTTCTGTGACCTGATTATTCTCTACAGGTCGACCTTTTTCGGCAACATGAAACATATTCCGTATGGCTAATCCTGCAGTATAAGTCAGTGTTATGATGACGAAGTCTCCCTCGTACACAGCTGCAACAAACGTAGTCTTCCGGGGTCACGCGGTCCTTCAGGTCTGGTCTGTCAGTGACCTGTGCCGATGGTCACAGTGTTGTGATCCTTTCTCTGGACATTCAGATTATTCTGCAACCCATATAATAACTATGCAATGCATACATGCGGCTGTGTGTTCTGCCTCATATCTGTATAATGTACACCATTTTTGTATTGAACGGTCTGAGATATTCTTAGATCAGACATAGTATTCTGCAATGTACAGTACGTGCATGCCACAGCCAGTCCTATTATGATCTGATAAAATGGTATACAATGACTCGAATGATGTTTCGAAGTAGTTACAGTGTTGTGTTCGACACACGCGGTCTTCTTGCACACGTCTGTGTACATGAACAATATGGACGTATTGGGCATTTTGTTTTTCTTTATTTTTCATGTTATATCCTATTTTTCTCTTTCCAGTTGAATCTGGGAAGGAGGCACTCTGGATATATGACCCTATGGAAAAATAACAATACCAAAAACATTGTAATTAGCCAGAAAATCCAATTTTAGGTTCTGGTTACCATGGCAACCGGTGCTGATTTGTATTTCACTCGCCGTGCAACCCTTGGACAAATTCAGGAATGACAACAAACGGGTTTTCAATGTATGCCAGTCCATCTATCGACTGGGCCAAAAAAATTGCGGTGCCCTCTTACTCGGAACGAGAATTCACATTTTTGTCACTTGGCCCACAGACTATAGTAGTCGTACACTCGGAGTCGTAGTCGTAGATCTACTCCCTGCTTTGCACTGCAGTCTGCAGATCTGATCATCTTCAAGTCAGTGCAAGCAGAGACGTTTGTTTTCAAACTGCAGTAGATCTGCGCGATCCCTCTCCTGTCCGCAATTCGTTCCAGTTGCTGGCGCACCAATGATCAGCGATACTCAACTGCTGTTATGGCGACTTCTCGTCTCTCCTCCTTGCCACTTTCAGGCATCCGGATATTGGATATGACGAGGTATGTGGATAGTTTTCGCGGCTCCACATCTACAAACTTGCGCAATTGCATGCTCATTTACAATACAAATTTAAAATTATTATTTACAATGCATATGAACATTCATCATAACTTTGTTAAGGTTGAGGAGTTGTGAACATTGACTTTTGATTTATTCATTAAAGTTGAGTCAAAGAGAAGTGGTGATCACTGATCACACATTCTCTTTCCCTGGGCACTGGGCACTGCAAATTCACAACTCATTTCACTACGCCCTTATCGACGTTTCGGCAAGTAGCCATCACCGGCGTGAAATAATTGGCCATTTTGCCGAAACGTTGATAGTGATGCAGTGAA